CAGGGTAAATATATATTTAAAAATGTATGAACAAGGAATTAAGTAAATTTTAACGAAAACAAATTATATAGAAAAAATATTTTAGTAGAAAAAACTTGTTTTGACCCTTCTGTACACAGCAATTAAAAATTATGTTTAGGCCTATATGTCTGTGTCACTGGGAAATCTTCAAAATGTGAAAAAAACAACACAAAAAACATCAAATGATAATGCGAGAGAACCTGTTCCAGCTGTTATTATTTTGTTGACTGCCAAATAGCTACGATGACAAAATATTATAAATGGACAAATAAACAAAACTTAGAAAAAGATCTGTTTTCAAGCTGCACTAGTTAATGCATGAAATATGGACATAGTTGCTTTATCTGGTGCTCCCTATAGAGAGAATCATCCAATAAGTCAGCAACACCCTCTTATTTTACAAAATATGAATACGAAATTTAAATAATATGTGCATGCCATGGGATATAGCCTGCATATATCTATTATTTACAAGTAGTCATAAGTCACTAGCCTTGATGTGCTATTAGGCTGTCTGCAGTGTCAGAAGTCAGTCCAGCTCAAATTCTGTTTTTAACACAATTTATATCTCTGAAGCTCGTACCCAACATGAATTAAAAAAACAGATAGTTTATTGTAATTCATTGCAGATTCACAAAATTCTGCAGGTAACTGTTTGAACAGCTAAATGACAGCATGGGGGCTTGCAAGCAATTTTTTATTTCAGATATCTAAAAACATCATATTGACAAGTCATAATTACGTTTGAGATATCTTGAATTGCTCTCATGGATGTTTGACCCATCAAATGATGAATCCAGTGACGTCATTTTAGATATCTTAAATTACATTTTGACTAGTCAAAATTCCTTTTAAGACATCTTGAATTGGAATTATGACTAGTCAGAATGTTAATACAGATATCTTAAATTACCATTCCAGACAGTCAAAATGTAGTTAAACTCATTTTTAGATATCTAGAATGTAATTACAGATAGTCAGATGAAACTGATTTTATGCTAAAATGGCTTGTCATACAAACATTTGAATTTAAAGGAGCATACTGTATTTAGTTTAAAAATACACTTTATATATCTGAGCTTTGGTTCCCAGTATAGCCAGATAATTAGTAAAATAAAATAAAATAAAATAAAATAAAATAATTTAAAAAAGGTAACAAAATAATGTTCATTAAATCTCAAAATCCTAATTATGAAACAGAGTGAGATATTCAGAAGCACATAGATTTATGGGACCTTGTCAAGCACACTTTTGGGTTTTAATTTATTTAACTCTGCCATGGTACATTTATTTTACTGGGGATAACAGTAGGGGGAGATCCATCTCCCTTTTAAATCTATGCTGGAGGAGTTGACAAATAATTCATTTATGGGTGACTGCAGATACATGATGTAGAGCACTTTAAATAATACCAAAGAAGCATCCAGGCCCACATGACAGACTGTCAAGAGGGTCGGAGCACCCACTATGAAACGTAATTTCTCTGTGATGAAAGGCAAATCTCTGATAACAGGTT